GTTACCAAGTTTAGTTAAGCGCTGTTATTGCTTTAACAAGTATTGTAAAGTGTTTTTACTGTATTAGCGAGTATTGTAAATTGTTTGTTGTACAATAAAGTTAATTGTACTACAATTTGGTCATCGATTGCATTTATTTAACAATCCAGCGATACGAACCGAGAGATTTGGGAAATCTGGACGAGGTTTAAGGATAATCGTAACAATATGTAAATAAGTACTTTACATGCACAAATTTGAAGATTTTTTAACAACGCAATTCCACATCTGGCAACCGTGCTATTCGTGCTCGTGACTTAGCGTAGTAGCAGCACTGTGCTCTCCCTGCAGCGGGGCCGGTGACAATTGTCGTTGTCGTTATTGGTCGCTTTAATATGATAATGCTCCCTTATTACATAAAGGAATTTGTTATTTATTATTTAAATACAAATAATAAATTTTAATACTTATCCATGTTCCGTTTATCTCGTGTGACCACCACGCAAATATCGGACTGAATAGTACCAAAGTAAAGCAATACATACACAGATACTCCTTTTCTACATAACTAATACTACATATTAAATTTTTTTGGTGTCATTTCAAATACGTTTACTATATATATGGGCAATTCACGTCAAATGTCCCAAGCGCGCTGAGCGGTGCAAAACAAGCTACTTTTCGACTCGCTGGGAAGCAAACAGAAAATGGGAAAAATAATTCGAAAACTATGATTTCTATACATTTTTGTACGGGCTATACGATGGTACTATGCGTTTTCCAAAATTTTTCCACTTTCATGGTGAAAATTCTGAACGAAAATTTATTTGTAACTTTTCTCAATTATGGTAATTTTTAATATTGTTTTTAGTTATCTCAATCGAAAGATCAAGTCTTTTTACATAGAAATCACTAATAAAAAATAAAAGCTTGTAAAAAAGGGACTTTTTTTACTTTTCCAAGTTATAAAGCCTTTTAGGGCGCGCTAGTCTGCTAACCGTGCGAGTCATAATAATATTGTTATAACTTTGCAACTACTTGATGTCTAGATCTGAAACTTTCGCACAAACTTCCTTAGATAGTCATCTACTGTTTTGAAACAAAAAACTGTTTTCAAGCTTTATAACACAATTTTTGCATTTGAAAACAAACACCCTCTTAATTCTCATAAAAAAGTTATAAACCTGTAGTTTTATTTGTACTGCGTATGTTAAACTTAAATCCGATGGAATAGTTCGTGGTTTATTGTGTGAAAATTTGAAATCGATCGATACACAAAAGACTGAGATATAGCGAGTTTAAATGACAATTTTGTTAAAATGCCCCTATTAGAGTTGCATTCGATCTTCGACTGTGGTCGAAACTGCTGATCGAATGAATTTTCATTTGGTATTATGACACTCATTCGATGAAGAATAGCGCTTGTTCAGAATATATTTTTAAAAAATCGAGCAAACCAAATAGTGTGCTTATACATATATATATGTATATATGTATGATATTTGCGGATATGAAACCTCGACTGGTAGCAAACGGTTCGGTGAGGTCCTCCTCAATTCTGATCTGATGCCACACTGGTAAGGCGCAATCAGTTCGTTGACGGAGGGCTTTAGTCTTTCACACAATACGCTCGATAAAATAGTTGGCACGTATGGCAGGGTCGCCTTTCTTGTGGATTCGACAGAGCGCACCTGAATGACAGTCGTCGGGCATGCACCTTATTAGCTCCTTGCCATCGCAATTGGAATAGCCCGGAATCAGCAAAATCGCTATTCGTACCTCGTCATAGTCAGGCGGTCGGATATAGACTCCATCGTCATCGCCTGGGGGCTCGGGTTCGTCTTCTACACTTCTTTCAGTGGTGCTGCCATTCAAAAGGGTCGAAAAGTGTTCCTCCATACTTTGAGTACGTTCTGGACATCGGTCACTAGGTCGACATGGTTGTTCCTACAGGAGTCTTGAAACCTGCAGTAAGTCGCTCAACTCTGCTAAAAATTTCGGGTGTTTTTTCTGTCGGCCAGCATTTTAAGCTCTTCGACTCACGTATTTCGACCTCTCTCTTCTTATATCGTCTAGCTTCCCTCTTCAGTCCCTATAACGCTTCCATATGGCTCGTGTTGCGCCCGGTCGCAGCGTGGTCCTGTAGGCGGCACATTTTTTATCTGCAGCTTCTTGACACTACTTATTTTAGGGGTGTAATTAAAAGTCTGCTAATTCCAAAATTATTTTTAGACGCGTTTTACCACCTCTACTCAATGCACGGATTTGGAAAAAGTTAATATTTATTGGTAGATTTTACATTAAAAAAATGGTAGGAGTAGGTAGATCTTTCAAAAGAAACAATATCAGAAAGTTTTTACTCATATTGGATAAAACATGAGAAACGACAGTGTTAGCGGACCAGCTGCATTTTCGCCTTGGTGGTTCTTAATAGGGATGTTCCGGATGTGGAATTTTAGACATCCGCGGATGCGAATGCGGTTGCGAATATCTAACAGCTAACATCCGCAGATGCGAATGCGAATGCGGATGTCAAGTATTTTTAAAAAACAATTAGAATCTAGCATAATGGCGAGATCGTTGTTTAAACAGCGCTTACAAGCCAAACCAGATACATATGTATGTCACGTTGTTTCAGAACTTGGAGAACCTGTAACTTTATAGCATGTCCCACCAGAGCTTAACAACGTAGTTATGGCTGTTGAGTTGGTTAACCCGATAACCCACTTGATTTAGCGTAGTTTCGCCATATAAAAATGACAGCACTTAACCATTTCACTGAGATGGTTAAAAGCTAACCAACTCGAAACCACGTCGAAAGTCTGATACAACCCTGTGTTTTCCCGCCATCTGTGGGTCATTTGCGTTAAAATTTAAAAAAATTCGTTCCCTACTAGTGTTTGGAGTTTACTAAGATCAGATAAGATTTACTCCGGTTTTTGAAAAAAAAATTTGAAATCTACTCCTCTACTCCGCTTGACTTCAAATCTATTCGGTTTTTTTTTTTTTTCATTCATGTTATGCCCCTCTTGGGGCTGTTTTTTGAGTGTTCACCACCGGTTTCAGTAAAAAAATTGAAAGTTAGCCAAATCTCACTGTTAAAAAGTAACTCTTTCTAGCAATGCGTTAATAAAGTAACTTCGTTATTTTTTTATGTATGGCTGTAGAAATTGGCGGATGCAGAAGTTCTTAAAAAATATATGTAGAATGAAATTTATATAAAGTAGAAAGGGTTTAGATCCTATTGCTCTTTAAAAAATTAAGTGTTAGATACGTTCTACTTTATAGAAAATGCTAAGAATTACCTAAATATGTAACATTGNTAACTTCGTTATTTTTTTATGTATGGCTGTAGAAATTGGCGGATGCAGAAGTTCTTAAAAAATATATGTAGAATGAAATTTATATAAAGTAGAAAGGGTTTAGATCCTATTGCTCTTTAAAAAATTAAGTGTTAGATACGTTCTACTTTATAGAAAATGCTAAGAATTACCTAAATATGTAACATTGTATCCTTACTTTGCTCGCGTTCTTATTTTTGCATGAATAGAAAATATTTAAGTCAAACAATTAATGTCAGAAACGAAAATAAAAAATTCAATCTAGTACGGAAAATTTGTTTTTGCTCAGATTTTTGCAGCGATTAAGTCCTGAATCGAGTTTTTGAGATCCGAACACTGTTCTCTACATTTGAACTGTTTTATAACCTCAAACCGCAGTGTGGACAGCAATAGTTAGTGATGTGGTTAAGTTCGATTTGAGATGGTTAGCTGTTTCGATTTTAGTTTTTGTAATCAATTTTTAATACTTTCTTCTGCGACTGCTTTGAAAAATTTATGCTTATAGCGAGCTATGGATATGGAAAATAGATTATTATTTTTGAAGAAAATTCTGTTTTCAAAGTCGTGGCTGAGAGCCGAATCGGATCAGCATATTGTTATTTTTTTTTAAAGCACCCCGTTTTTTATAATCATTTGAATAACAGATAGTTACGTAATTCTTATCTAATTAAAGAACAGACCTATAGCTTTTTAATTATTTGAGCATCGATTCTCTTTATAGCTAGACGTTGATCATTTCTACTGGAAATCCCTATTGAAGGAGCTTACTCATTGACTTTAAATAGCAAAGAAGGGACCGTTTTACCACAGAAGTTTTTAGCCAAGGATCCAATGTATATCCCTATGAAAAAAAATATTATCCAACAAGCAAACAAAACTACTGTTTTTAAAATTTTTGCTAAAAATAAATTCCCCAAAGAGCCCCATTCAAAGGAATAAATGTAATAGGTGGCATACGCGGTATGTCTGACTCGCGAATCATTTCTGTACGTGTTGACTCGCCTTCGACTAAACACAGTTGAATCATTCAGAGTCATGCCGGGGGTCATGTTGGTGTAACTAATACATATTTATTTTCACAAACACATCCAAACCGACTCACGAGTCAGACGCACCGTGTATGCCGCCTGTAACATCAAAAGCAAATCACGAAAATTTTGTTAAGAATTACAGTGCACACTTTCTTCTTTTGTGTCTAGTAGTTTTTTATTTTTTAAGATTGGTCAAAAAAAATTATAATAAAGAAAGAAGCCAAAGTAGATATTTAAAGCACAGAAAAAAATATTATTAAAAAGGTCAAGTAGAAGTGGGAACTTTTATGGCTGATTGCTCGGTTATATAGCTTAAGAAATAATATTTTAAAGACATTTTTATCAAAGTTGATAAATATAACATTTGACCAGTTTTGTTACACAAATACTCCTACGACCACAGGCACAAATATTGGCTACAATATGTAATTTTTTTTTCCCCCATATATACGTTTTATCGGTTCACTTGCAAAATATTCGCATTCGCAAAATCTACGCATTGATTATTGCCAATGCGAAAGCGAATGCGAATGTTGAAATTAATGCGGAAGCTCCGCAGTTGCGAATGCGAATGCGAATATTCGCAACAACCCTGATTTGTAGTACTACTTACTTGTAGCTGAATTGCTTCTCCAATTTGCGTTTTATAAGTAGGCTTTTCGACATCAGATGTAAGTTGGCATGCGAGGTTGTTAAGAAGGTCTGATATTTGCCGAACTATTATTCCAAATGCACGAGCCAGATTGCTAGCAGTTGTTGCCATTGTATGCTGCTCTTGGGGTGGCACTGTTACCGTGGAACTTGCTGGCACAGTGGAACGGCGTAATGCCATGGGGTCAATAAAAACTAAATTTGAACCAGCTGGTACTCGAACAGAAGACCGGGCGGTATCTCTGCTTCTGATCGCCCACTGCATAGACTGTGGGGCTAAATCACTGCGTACATTAGCGCTGATATTTCGACGCTCCAACTGATGATCGGCAAAATTAAATTCATCCGAATGCTCGTCTGTTTCACCATCTTCAGAAGCTTCCTCTTCCTGAGGAGACGAATCACCAGATTCATCTTCGAGAAAAAGTACCCCAATATCTGAAAACGTGAAAAACCGTGAACTCTTAAGAAAAGAAAGCTAATCCTAGTAAAGACAGTTTAAAGACTGATAATACAATACAATAGCGGTCATTATTTGTATTAACTAATTTTCATACAAATTTACATTAAAAAAATAACATTTTCATCTTACATATTCATGTTTCTGGCATGCGGGGGACGATATCGTCGTTCCCAACGAAGAGTAGCACATCTCAAATTACCGTAGAAGACTAGCACGTTTCACTATTCGCGTCGAAAAGTAGCCCATTTCAGATTCTCACGTGGAAGACAAGCACATTTCACTATTCGCGTGGAAGAGTAGCACATTTCAGATTTTGGCGTGGAAAATTAGCACATTTCAAAGAAACATACACATATGTGCATGCAGTCATATCAAGAGGACCTCGTTTCAAAGTGATATTATTTTCCACTTATGTTTATTTATTTATTTTTAAGAATTTTCTTTAAAATAAAGTTCATTCTCTGAAAAAATCCACATAAACCCAAGTTTAAAACTTTGTAGAAAACTCAAAAAAAATCAACAAATTTCCATCCAAATTTCTTGAGTATATAGTTTTAAAGCCCTATCAATTTTACCGCAATAATGTGCAAGTTTCAAGTCGCTAGAAATTTCCGTTGCTGCGGTTTTCTTCTATATAAAAATAAATTGTGTTTATTCGTTATATGGGAGCAAATGCGACAAAAAGAATCAAAGGTAAATTTAAGACTCTTGAAACTTGCACATTATCATACTAAAATTGAATGGGCTATAAAGCTTCATGCTCAAAAAAATTGTAACACTTCTGAGTAAATCAGTTTGAAATTTGTATGGAAATTAGTTGCATTTTTTTAGACTTTTACAAAGTTTTAAGCGTGAGCTTACAGGGTTTTTTTTAATGAACTTTAATTTAATTGAAATATTTTCAGCAAATGATCACTAAACGCTATATACCGTCTGAATTTCATAAATTGTAGAAAATAATTATAGAAATATAATAAAAGCACTTGAATTTTCAATATAAATTATACTTTTATGATTTACTTTAAACCCTTAATGTGTTACTCTTCCACGCAAATAATGAAATGTGCTACTTTACCACGCAAAATCTGAAGTGTGCTAGTCTTCCACGCAAAAACCTGAAATGTGCTACTCTTCCACGCAAATGGTGAAATCTGCTACTTTTCCACGCAACAATCTGAAATGTGCTAGTCTTCCACGCAAATAATGAAATGTGCTACTCTTCCACGCAAAAATCTGAAATGTGCTACTTTTCGACGCGAATAATGAAATGTGCTAGTCTTCCATGCTAATAGTTTAATGTACTAGTCTTCCACACGAATAGTGACCGCCGTATATGTTCTTGCCGATTTGTTTTACAAAAATTATTTAAAAAGAAGATGTCTCGGTTGCTCAGCAAACCGGTTAATCGGTCCTGAAATTATTTCACATTGATTCTCTAAAAAAGTTTTCGATTTATCCTTAAGATGCATACACATAAAGGTAAATTTGATAAGAAACTAGCTTTTACACGCGGGTTTCACCCCACGCGGAAGGAATTAAAGGGGTCATGTGACTTGTGGTTCCGAAGTTATGGCTGATAAAAAATTCCACGCCTATGTTAAGTGCTACGAACAATGTTATGTTTATGTGACATGGTTCCGAAGTTATAACTGGTAAAATATTCCACGCCTTTGGGATTTGCCGCCCCCTTTCACGGTCTCATTTATTTATATACTTTACTATAAGCACCTACCATAGATATGTCTGCATACCACATTTCAAGTTCATGTGACTTATGGTTCCGAAGTTATGACTGACTAAAAATTCCACGCCTATGTTATCTGACACTCCTCCTTTTACAAACTCATTTATATATACCTTAAGATAAGCATCTACCAGAGATATGTTTGCATAATAAATTTCAAGTTCATTTGACTTACGGTTCCGAAGTTAGAGGTGATTAAATAATTCCCGCCTATGGGAGGTGCCACGCCCCCTTTTCCAATACCGCCAATTTTTCCCTATGAGTATGCAATTAATTTTATTTATCTCGACAGCAAGTTCCAATGCCCTACCACAAATATTTCAAAAGATATAGGAGGCGCCACGCCCTCTTTTCAAGTACTGCCCATTTTTCTCGATGCCTATAACCTTCCCGGGGTAAAAGCAAACAAGTGTGCAAAGTTTCGTGGGATTCCGTGAAGCGGTTCAGAAGTTATAAGGTAATAAACAAACAGACATTAACATTTACATATATAGATGATAGATGAAACGACAATTTATTAAAACTAGTAGTAATACCCCGAATTTCGGGTGAGTATTTAGCTCAACATTTATTTAAAGAACTTCGTGAAAGACAACTTGTATTTCTAGAAACCTGATAACTCAGAATAATTACATATTAAGTTACTCTACTCGTACAGTGGGCCGTCACCTTTAAGGGTTTATTAGTCGTAATCTGAAATGCAATAATCACTGAAAATTGGCGCCGTTTATGGTTAAAGGTATTTGTATCACACTTTTAAACTAAAACCTTCTGAACCCTAGAAGCCTAATCTATTAGGGAGTTACCTGAAGCCTTAACATACGTCTTAGAGGCGTATGTGACTTAAAAGATAACCTGTGAGATAAAATATACTTAGTCCTGCCCTATTCTTTTAGAGTATGTAAGTTTTTGGTTTAACTAATGATAAACTTAATTTTATTAATAAAAACTATAGCCACATTTATTTAAAACAACAAAATAAACAATTTTGTATGAACTTAAAAAAAATCCCGATTCCATATACGCCTCGCAGACGTAGATTACAGTGATACAAAAGTAAACAAACAAAAAAATATGCAGGGTTCTCATATAGAAATTATGTATACATACTGTTTTTCTCCATCATTTTGTTTATTAGTTTTTTACTAACAAATATAACAAAACTTAAGTATTCTTCAAGTTACAACTTCAAGAAATTATAAATACTGTTTTTTGGTCGAATTTCAAAGACATGGGTTTTACCTTTTTAACAAAGAAAAAAGTTTTAAAATCGGCTGGAGAAGGGCTCATTTAATTGAAAAAATATTAAATTTTTCAAAAAACTTTCATTTTCTTCACGCTCTTATTTGATCGTGAGGCAATAAAATGTTTTTTTTTTTTGATATTTATAAAAAAGTACATAAAATCAGTTTTCCAGCCGATTTTCAAAATTTTTTCTTTGTTAGAAAGGTGAAACCCATGTCTTTGAAGCAGAGAAAAATTTTAAATTCGACCAAAAAACAACAAAGTTATCACTTCTTGAAGTAGTAACTTGAAAAATACTAAAGTTTTATTATATTTGTTAGTAAAAAACTAATAATGGGCTATTACAAAACATGATTTCTATATGAGAACCCCTGCATATTTTTTGTGTAGCACAGTGTCATGTTTTTAGGGTTAACCCTTTCAATACAAAAACTCACCTGATTCTAAAAATTTTAAAATATCGCATAATTAATAATAGAGGTGTGTAATTAGAAATTCATAAGCTTGATAAGGATAATTTGCTTAGCCTAACAGATGACTAAACTTCCCAAAAATGGCGAAGATAAGCGTCTTTCTATCTGTTTCTTGGTATACCAACTGTAAGAATTGATCACACTTTGATTGCGTTTTCCCACAAAATTTAAATTTTAAAATAATTCTGTATATTATCAAACGTGCGATATGTATACCGGATCGTTGGATCACATCAAAAAATTTTTAAAGCTTTGAGGTCTGCCGTCATTTAGGGTCAATTCCACGGAAAATTGCCTAATATTTTTCAATAGATTACATATCTGTGTTCGTATGAAATAGTAGCTTATGTCGAGAAGCTGGCTTTAGTATAATGCGGCATTCCCTTTATCCTTCCAACGACAAGGAATTTTTTGATAAGACTTAATAAGAATATTGACTTGCTAGTATCGGAACTAAGATCTGCTTCATTTGAAATCTGGCAGCACTCTACATAGCACAACTTTGTTATCGACTACTCGATCAGCCGTTTATTTAGTGTGCTGGTTTTGCTTTCGTTGTTTTTTATTACAGTTAATTTTCATATGCGTAACTTTAAAAATAAGTGATGTGGAGAGCAAAGAACTTCAGCAAAGAAAATTGATTTTGGACGAATTCGTGCAAAATCCACACATCTCTCAATGTCGGTTAGTAAAATTGCTGAAAATTGGAAGGTCGACGGTTCAAAATTTATTGTCAAATATCAATAAAAATGGCAGCATTTAGAGTAAGGCGAAATCTGGCGGAAATAAAATAGCGGAGAAGGGTGGTCTAACGACTTTGAAAAGGAATCCGAATATTTCTGAACGTGTTGTTGCACCTGGAGTGTTGTTCTGAGAGCGTGTATTGTTTGGCCTGATCTGGCCACATGCCATTGTGCAAAAAAGCGCAAGAGTTTTATACACAAAATGGAATCAACATTGTACTAAAAGAGGCCAATCCTCCGAATTGCCTAGAGCTGTAAACGGTCGAGCGTTATTGGGCCCATATGAAATCAAAATTAGAAAAAAAAACAAAATGCACGACTTCAAGAATAATGTGGCGAAAACAGGCTGAATCGATCAACGAAAGAGATGTCCAGGTATTAATGGCGGGTGTCATCTCTAAAGTACGGGTATTTTGGCGTGGAAATTAAATCTAATAATATTTGTAAATCTTTCATTTAAATAGAAATAAAAGAAGGTTTTAAAAAAGTTTCGATTGAATTATTCACATTTAAATTAGTTTGCTATTTAATACTGCCAGATTTCAACTGAAGCAGATCTTTTTTTTCCACGTTTCTTTGCCAAAAGTTCTTCAACGGCTCGGCGCCAGTGAGTCATCCGCAATCGTATGCTGCGGATGCCGCATTATACTAAAGCCAGCCTTNGAAGGTTTTAAAAAAGTTTCGATTGAATTATTCACATTTAAATTAGTTTGATATTTAATACTGCCAGATTTCAACTGAAGCAGATTTTTTTTTTTTACACGTTTCTT